TCTCGAAGAATTCGGAGATATTTTGCACGTGTCAATCAAAATGAAGCGCCAAAGGGGCCGCGATCTTGAGTGATGTATGTAGAATGCATGTGTGCGTGTGCGAAAAGGGAAAATTTGTACACTCATGATGAACACGTGGCTTTTAGTCGTAGTTCGCATGCGCTGATCCCAAACCACGGGAATCTCCAAGTTTCAACCACCTCTGAAGCTTGGAGATCTTGGAGAGCCTACTAAAAGTCGGAGAGGATATAAGAACAGCTCTCGAACTTTTCGGAGAGTCTCCAACTTTTTCCGAGAGGATTTAAGACCGCACCCTAAATTCAATGCCAGACTAAAGTCGGTTTGTCCAGCTTTTTAATACACTCTTATGATCCATAGACGAAATTTACAACCAGACAAACTCCTTTTCTTTGGAGTTGGACGAAATTATTGACCGACGAAATTTCTGCCAGTACAGTACCTCGGATGTTGAGCCAATAGTATTATGTCAAGAGAAAGGACCTGTAAGTTACGAGTTATGACTGACAGTCCACCAAGGTAACGAGATAATATACACTCAGATAGTGCGACAACAACTTCGTGGCGCATCCCCTCCCCTCATTGGAACTTTCCGCACCGGAGCCTTCCAAGTTTGAAGGTTGTTGGCTTGCGCTTCGTACATGTGTTGGAACTAGGTGTCAGGTCGTTGAATGTCTCAATATCCTTGTCAGTTGTGTGCCTTGTTGTCGCACTATCTGACTGTATCTCGTTACCTTGGTGGACTGTTAGTCATAACCCGCAACGTGTTGGTCCTTTCCAGAAAACTGGAAAACCGGAAAATTTCGAGGGACATTTATTTTCGGTAACTTCGGTGCAGGCGATGCTTACGTAAAATAAAACGAGACCTAAAATTCAACAATGCCATGCCACGCAGTGTGCTAAATGCATTGTTGGATCTGGAAAGCTAGTTCACCGAAACTTTCGCGCTACTGAACCGCTGATTTTGGGAAATAACGAAAATATTACACCAGCGAAAATCCCCGGTTTTACAATAACTTACAGTATTTACGCACATATAAGCACACGCGCTTATAAGTGAATTTTTGCTACGAATCCAATTTTCAAAAACGATAATGTTTCACCTAAACGCGCATGCGCGATCAGAGTTCATTTGCCACAGTCGTTGTGTTTGACTAGGTGAGGTCTTGTAGTGTCAGTTTCATAGTTCCGGTATGCTGTCTATCAGACTTTCATCAGTGATTGTGTCAAAGTGAGAATTCTGGTAGTGCTTCGCCTATAAGAGCATGCGCTTATAAGTGAGAGTGCGCTTCTATCCGAATACAGGCACATACGCCTATATGTGCGTTACTACGGTATTAAACTTGGTTGTGCGAGCCATCCGGCACAACGCCGCGCAGAGGGCAAGCAACTTACCGCCGACGTTACTGGCCCGCCGGGTATAGGAACTGCGTTGCACGGGTTGTAGAAGTATTTGGTAAGATAGCTGGCATCCCGCGCAATGTACCTGAATAAAAAAAAGGTGATATAGTACAACGCCATTGCACACAGTACAGAACTCCCTCTTTAAGCCAGCGCTTTAATTTATAAACCAGCACCCTCCACAAGCCAACACAATTTTCAGTAGCCAAAATGTCCTCTTCATGCACAGTGCAGCAGTAAACTAGATTTTCTAATCCAGCAGAACTTCCCTAGCACAAATGGTGCCGGATTTGAAAGGGATTACCGTGGTAACACGCAGGCTCGTTGAATTCATATTATTCCCGTAGCTATGCAGAAGACGTTACTTCAGTAACGTCTGGCACTAGCCAGGGTCCACACAGCTTTAATTTGGTATTTGTTTGTTTGTGTCACGCCTGGCGCTATCTCGTATCTGTCCCGTGTCGTATTACCCTCGACCGTACCTGTGCCGTACCGTACCGTACCATCAAAGACGGCTGGCCACAAACAGCTGGCCACAATATTCAAATAGGGCTTTCAAATGCAAGATCATAACGTGAAGCAACTTGGAAGAATTATTATGTATGAGAAGTGTACCGGGGAATGCATGTAGGGCGATAGTGCGGGTTCGAATCCCAGGTTATGTCTTGAAAAAAAAGGAGAATTGAAAAATTTATAACATCTATGCTTTTTTGCCTTGGTCATCAAGGCGGTAGACGGTGTTGTATTACCCTCGACCGTACCTGTCCCGTACCATCAAAGACGGCTGGCCACAAACAGCTGGCCACAATATTCAAATAGGGCTTTCAAACGCAAGATCATAACGTGAAGCAACTTGGAAGAATGAGTATGAATGCAAAGTGTATCGGGGAATGCATGTAGGGCGATAGTGCGGGTTCGAATCCAAGGTTATGCCTTGAAAAAATAGGAGAATTGAAAAATTTATAACATCTATGCTTTTTTTTGCCTAGGTCATCAAGGCGGTAGACGGTGTTGTATTACCCTCGACCGTACCTGTCCCGTACCGTACCATCAAAGACGGCTGGCCACAAACAGCTGGCCACAATATTCAAATAGGGCTTTCAATTGCAAGATCATAACGTGAAGCAACTTGGAAGAATTAGTATGTATGCGAAGTGTATCGGGGATGCATGCAGGGCGATAGTGCGGCTTCGAATCCCAGGTTATGTCTTGAAAAGAAATAGGAGAAATTGATCAGAAAATTTATAACATCCCTATGCTTTTTTTTGCCTAGGTCATCAAGGCAAAAAAGCATAGCGTAGGGCCCTGAGCTTCCAAGCTCTCTCGTTGGTTGACATCATGTAACAAGGCGGAGGACGCAATGTATAGAAACCAGGGAGTCGTAAAATACCGGTATTTTACGACTCCCTGATAGAAACCACTTACACAGTACCCCTAACTACAACCATCATCGGTTCACAGAACCCCGGTCGTCATTGACGACCGTTTGAACCGTATGGGGACAGGCCCTGGTTCAGACCCTCATTATTATTATTATTTTAAAACGAAGGTCAGTTTTGGGTCGCAAGTATCCACGCAAACACACATCCAGTCATAATAAGGCACTTGTCATAAGTATCCGAACGTTTTCGGTCCCTTCTCATCAAGGATTATACAGGGAATGGCTCAAGTTGGAAAGACTAAAACTTCTATAGCGTAAAGATAATTAGGTAACAACACTTGTGACAAGGTGGAAAATTACCAAGTTCAGCACGACACAAAACTCGAAGGAAAATAATAATAGTGACAACAACATAGTGAGCAAACGAGAGAGCTTGGAAGCTCAGGGCCCTGCGCTATGTTTTGTTGCCTAGCTCCTCGTGCATGTTGTTAGAACTGATGGAAATGCTTTTTCCTTTGATTAGCTACATCATTGTATTGCAAAAACGTTTCAATGAGATACTGAAGTAACGTCTTCTGCATAGCTATGGGACCGGCGCTGACTCTGCCGATCACGGGCGTTCTGGAGTCGACGGGATGTCTGTCCTGACGTTTCCTGGGACCGGCGCTGACTCTGCCGATCACGGGAGTTTATCTTCTTCTTATTATTATACTGACGGCAACTAACATCCATTCTGATTGCATTTACTCGTCTCCCTACTTCGTATTTCTATCCAGAAAATCTCCCCATACAGCAGGGAGTCGTTTACATAATATGACTCCCTGCTATACATCTACATGTACATGACTGTATAAACGTTATAATTATTATGCTATCCGCCTACATGCGATTCCCGGGCTGGTCGACAGGCGGCCCAGCCAGCCTGCTAGTGGGATCTCGGCCTCGCACACAAATCCACACAAAATGTTACTGCACTGAATGCATTCCCCCGATACACTTCGCATATATACTCATTCTCTTGTTGGTACCGTACTCTTGATGGTACGGGACAGGTACGGGATAGCGCCAGGCATATCGATGGCACAAACAAACAAAAATATTGTGGCCAGCTGTCTTTGCTGGTACGGTACAGTACGGGACAGATACGGGATAGCGCCAGGCGTGACACAAACAAACAAACAAACACACAAATACCAAATTAAAGCTGTGTGGACCCTGGCTAGCGCCAGACGTTACTGAAGTAACGTCTTCTGCATAGCTACGGGAATTAAGTTACATTGTTACCACCTCGACGAGGAGTAACACCAAACAATTGTAGCGACAGCACATTTTCTTTCTGTACGCAAAGTTCAGGATCTAACTTACGGATATACAAAGCTTCTAACACAGCCAAATGCAACGCACATCTACCACGTGACAATATTGAGAAAACATTATCACTGTACAACTCACGACAATTGGTACGGGCTGACAGATGTTGCTTGATTGACGAAGTGTGATTCTTAGCTCCGTTGGGTGTTGTCTCCTCCAATGTCCCGTCATCTCGCCTCTTTGTGGCAATCACCACTATCCGTCTCTTCGCGTTTCCGCGGCCTTCCATGTTTCTTGACACTAACCGTTGGGTGCGCGATACCCAGTGTCCTTTCAGCTACGTCTCCTCCATTGCGGATTTCTATTGAGCTTCTTACTTGTCTGGTGTCCGATATTGAGGTTAGTTTTCGCGGTCTACCACGTTTTCGAATATTGACTGTTGTTGTCACTTCCGTTGTCGTTGTACGTTCGTCCTCACCAGTCCGTATTTTCACTTGGCTTCTCGTCACCCTTTCCGACGCCGACAGATCCTTTGTCAGTTTCGGTGGTTTACGTGTCGGTCTTTCACCATCTTTTATGCTGTTCTCAGCTGGCCCGTGTCCTACACACGCAGAGGAGGACGGGCATGCAGTCACATCTTCACGGGAAGAGGAAGATCCACCGATGGACTGGACAGCACATTTTGGAGGACGACCACGGCGAGGACGACAATCGCGCGCATCAAGCGGAACACAACTTAACGGCACATGTTGACGAATGCGTGCGCCCAGGTGCTGAAGGGTTCTACCTACATACCGATCTTCACATTGTCGGCATTGAAAGAAATAGATAAGGTTACTTTTACTAAGGGCAGGTAGAACATCCTTCTTCACACTGAACGCACGCACTGTCCCAAATATGACGTACAGCTTGACGCACGGGGCGAGATGACGGGACATTGGAGGAGACAACACCCAACGGAGCTAAGAATCGCACTTCGTCAATCAAGCAACATCTGTCAGCCCGTACCAATTGTCGTGAGTTGTACAGTGATAATGTTTTCTCAATATTGTCACGTGGTAGATGTGCGTTGCATTTGGCTGTGTTAGAAGCTTTGTATATCCGTAAGTTAGATCCTGAACTTTGCGTACAGAAAGAAAATGTGTTGTCGCTACAATTGGTTGGTGTTACTCCTCGTCGAGGTGGTAACAATGTAACTTAATTTGCTCACTATGTTGTTGTCACTATTATTATTTTCCTTCGAGTTTTGTGTCGTGCTGAACTTGGTAATTTTCCACCTTGTCACGAGTGTTGTTATCTAATTATCTTTACGCTATAGAAGTTTTAGTCTTTCCAACTTGAGCCATTCCCTGTATAATCCTTGATGAGAAGGGACCGAAAACGTTCGGATACTTATGACAAGTGCCTTATTATGACTGGATGTGTGTTTGCGTGGATACTTGCGACCCATAACTTACCTTCGTTTGAAAGTATTATACGCCTCCGACCTCTTTTAAAAATTATTATTATTATTATTTGAAACTCTGGTATTGAGCCAATAATAAATGTAGAAAGGAAAAAGGACAGTCATATGGATATAACTCTCCACCACTGTAACTAGATACTATAATTATACAGTCCGAAAATGCAACAACTAGGCACAAAACTGACAGAGTACTGAGAGTCTCGTCATTGTCCAGTAACAATCGACATTCTTTGTTCCGTTGGGACTGTAGCTGGTGCTCATTTTTGTTGCGCTTACCCTCCCCTCTTTGGTCTCTCCATAACCTTGAACCTTCCGAGTTGGAAGGCTGTCGGTTAGCGCCACGGAGATGTGTTAAAGCTAGGTACTAGGTGTCAGGACGTCGAATGTCTCAATACTCTGTCACTTTTGTGCCTAGTTGTTGCACTTTCTGACTGTATATAGTATCTAGTTACAGTGGTGGAGAGTTACTCTTGACTCGTTTCCATATGTCCTTTTCCTTTCTACATTATTTTTTATTATTATTGTTATTTATTCATATTTTAATAGGGCAGTCCCATTATACTAGGGGAGATGGATTTTGTGTTGAGAGAATGGTGTTCGTTGTGCACTGTAGTTGCTTGGGTTCTGTCGTGTGCGCATCCATACGACTCAGCACGCACTATGCTGTCATCCATGCCAACACATTGCATGCCAGAATGAGAGGAATGCATCGTGTAAAATAGCAACCAAAGCTAGCATGCTACTGCAAAAGCCATTATTCTAACGAGGCGCACATAAAACGATTTCCCAAAATTGACTAGTTTACGTGTACCAAAGGTAACGATTTTCACTCATTCTCAACGCTCAATGGGACAGTATAATTATGTATCGATTTCTGTATAACGATTTATATTTTAACGACAGATCTCTCCTCGTTAATTCGTTAGAGTTAGCACTTCATTATATATATATATATATATATATGGGAAGTGTGAGTTACGAAGTCTGAAGAAAACGTTGAACGGTCTCTGCTTGGATGACGACTACACCATAGCTCAGTGGTTAGAGCATCGCTGGCTACAAGCGAGGGTCCCTGGTTCGAGTCCTGGTGGTGACAGTCAATTTTTTCTCCAGACTTTTCCCGTTTGTCTCTTTCCCTCAAAACCAGTTAATATATATATATATATATGGCTTTTACAGTAACCAGACTAGTAGACCTGGCTGTACGTGTACCTGCTAGGAGCTTCTGTGCACGTGTAGCTAGATCGCGCAACAAAAACTGCCGACCTCGCATCATCATGATTATGTGCCGCACAGGCCAGGCCAAGCCAGGCTGCATGTGCATGTGCTGGTCCCCACAGTGCAGCACGGTTTTCTTCTTCTTTCTTCCAGACTCGTGAATCGTATGAGCGCGGGTGACGAGAAAAATAGAAATAAAAACGCGTGGCCTAACGAAACGAGTTCAAGCGTCGATAATTTATGTTGTATCGCGGATAGCCCAGGTAAGTACGAATTAGTGCCTATTCCACAGCTGCTAGTCCTGTTACAAGGTAAGTCTCGTTATAATAATATAATTTACAAGATAACTTTTTTGATGGCCCAGAGAGTATCTACTAACGACGGAGGACCTGCATCAAGCAAGGCTCACATACAAACTAGTGAGCGGAGAGCCCCAACGTTTCAAATACGTATTCATGTGGTACTAGCAGTGCGCCCAAAACGTCCGATTTTTTGAAGGCTCTTCCGAAAACCGGTCCGAAAAGGATATGTCCGAAAAGCAGCCAAAAATGTCAGGGGGCCAATACATTCCTACGCAGAAGTCCTGTATTTTCACTTTTGAGCGCAACTGAACACACACGTCACTGTACATGTGATTCTAAAAAGGCGAGTACAGGACATTCATGCAATGCAATGTGTTAGTTTATGACCAGGGAGTCGTAAAATACCGGTATTTTACGACTCCCTGTTTATGACGCGTTCATGACAACTTCTGGGCGCCATGTTGGATACCATGGCGATGAAGCGAATTTTCTTCGTATTTGGGCGTATTTGAGATTCTCTGAAATGTTGCGGTGAATGATGTCAGATTTTGGACGAAAATTATTAATTTTGGCAGTACAGGTCTTGAAGTTAGTTGCTCCAACGAGGAGCCTCTGCTCTCGAAATAACAACTCTCACTTGTACATGAACCTCGCTAGTACGTAAAAAAATCAAATCCCGTGCCGAAACAGTATCACTCCCATACAAATATTGTTCTACACAACGTAATCCCACATAACATAAACCTCAACATAACACACGCTACAGCGCGTCCCTGACGTGCGCACTCTCAAAACAACGCAAATTCACATGCACGGTACGATCAAGCAGTAGCTGTAGCAGTTTAGTCCTACATAACGTAAAGCTCGACTTAACGCACCCTACGGCGCGGTCCCCGACGTGCTCACTCTCAATGCAATGTAGATTCGCGTGCACCGTACAATCAAGCTGTAGCCGTAGCTATCACCATAGCCAGTCTAGTCCTATTGTGCATACATGTATATTCAGCAGCATTGATGGTACAGTCAGACCTCGCTTATCCGGATCCCTCGCCATCCGGAAGAAAATCGTTGGTTACTGATTTGCAGCATATGGCATACATACATACAGTATGTGTGTTCGATTATCCGGTTCCCTCGCCTATCCGGATACTTTGGTGGAAAACGGATGTGTGCGGTTATGCGAGGTCTGACTGTATCTGATGTCGATGGTGGTACAGTGTGTATATGTTTGCACGGTTGAACCCGCCTTGTAATACCCTTCATTTTGAGGTACATCTTATATTTTACATGCGGTTTTCTGCATAACATAACTCTCGATATAACAGAATTATGTGTGCGTGGTCCCAGAGATTACGTTACTAGTATATGGAGAGTAGTAGTAGTAGACTTATACACAGAAGCCTTGCTTGGTAGTTTAAAGGGGAAGTTAAGGCAAAAATCAAAATTTCACCAGTTGTAGTCTTCGGGGTGCTGAGTCGAATGGTCTTGGTCCGAGGAAGCTGAGACGCTCCCCTCCTACTTGAATCCCAATCGAACTCGCGCACTTCCACCGAAACTGGATGACTGCGCCCTACTAGATGGGGATTTGTATGCAAAAATGTCACTAAAAGCACTAAAAGCGCCATTTCGTTCTTATAAAAGCACGGATGACCGCGATTGGCCCATATGTTGTAGTCTTTTGGACGCTGAGTCGACTGGTTTTGGTCCGAAAAGGTTGCGATGCAGCGTTCCTCCTTTATTCCCAATCGAACATGGTTGAACAAGCGGTCACGTGCTCCTGGGTGCCCAAATCACCTGGTCACCACGCCAGCAGGCGACAACTTTCACACCAAGGTTCAACTCGAGTTCAACTCGAGTGACAGGAGTGCACCCAAAAAAAGTCAAACAGGCTAGTAAGTTGTACCCTGCAGGCACGGTGACCAGGTGACTGGTGTACGCAGGAGCACATGACCGCTTGTTCAAGCATGTTCGATTGGGAATAAAGGAGGAACGCTGCATCGCAGCCTTTTCGGACCAAAACCAGTCGACTCAGCGTCCAAAAGACTACAACATATGGGCCAATCGCGTTCATCCGTGCTTTTATAAGAACGAAATGGCGCTTTTAGTGACATTTTGCATACAAATCCCCATCTCGTAGGGCGCAGTCACCCAGTTTCGGTGGAAGTGCGCGAGTTCGATTGGGATTCAAGTAGGAAGGGAGCGTCTCAGCTTCCTCGGACCACGACCATTCGACTCAGCACCCCGAAGACTACAACTGGTGAAATTTTGATTTTTGCCTTCCCCTTTAACATGTTTTTCGATTTCGCCTTGTAACATGCTGTCAAAATCGAAAAGCATGTTACTATTTTTAGTAGTAGACCTGTACTGTGCTAGGCCGGGAGTTGAGGGAGTTGAAAAAGTGAAAATACATGTACAGTACGTGTCATGAAGAAAATAGTCCTCAATTTAAAACAACGAACTCACGGATCGTTAGTCGCGCGAGACAGAGAAGTAAAGTCGAACCTCCTGCCGTCAGCGGTAGCGCAAGTACAGCCATTTAGGCTCGAGATACAGTATATTTCTTTGCCCGCAGCCTCGGCCCCCGGAAACGAAATGGGCAGCAACATCATCAGCAGCAACGCCAGTGAGATGAGAGCACGATCCATGGTCCGTTTGTTACTTACACACGCAGGCACCTACTTGCCCTCGGTCTACATGCAGCACACGCTCTGAACCACGGCAGCCACACACTCAAGGAGTCAAGCTCACCGAAACCTCAAACCTCAGCTCAAACAAGATAAGACCAAGAGTTCATATGGGGTTATGAACTCTTGATAAGACCAGTCTGATCTGTGGTGAAGATCGTTGAGCTGACAAAGATCAAGGAGACGCTCAAGCCAGTGGAGTCAGGGAGTAGTTTTTGTACTACTCCCTGTGTAAAGTCTACTCTTGCTGGTCTCTTGTCGTCAAGCTTGCAAGCCTGCTTGGTGAGATCAGCTCACGTAAAAAATGAAAAATTTGATGCACTCCCGCGATCCCGGCCCTGATGCATGATGCACAGCGCGCTAGCTCTAGTAGATCTACTACATAGTAGCTGCCGCTAGAGCTAGGTACGCGTATTCTACGGTAGGCGGTAGGTAGGCTAGGGCAGCATGCTGCATGTGACATGACGATCACACGTGATCATGGTGATCGACAGACTGCTAGCTTCAAAAGACGTCGACTTTTTTCTTATTTGGATGGGTTTCGCTCAAAGAAAACCACCCGAGAAGTCTGTAAAACCGGCTTCAGCATTGTTTGCCACATCAATCGCAAATCGATGACTCTTGAAAGACCGATACAGTGTATACGCATACACAAAGTCCAAGTACAAGCTCGAGATACTCGTGCAAGGCTACCACCCGCTGCATATGCAGCGAGATATCTGTAGGTGTACGCGCGTCACGCGCAGTCAAGATCCGGCGCCTTGCATACGCAAAAAGATTGGCATCTTGCCCATCGACATCGTATCATATGGGGGAAATGACCAAAAAACGGTATGCTTGTGTAAAGAGAGCTGCAGAGGACGTGCATTTCTGTGTTTGTCAGCTTCTGATTCTCCTATTCAGACTTGGAAAAGAATAGGTCCTGGTCAGGGAGGTGAATGGTGTCTTGCAGAAGGGAAATAATGCTTTCGTGAGCTGGAGGACGTGAGGCGAGGAACAACCTGACCATGGCGTCCAAGTTTGGAGCCACAACCCGCCAGCTCCGTCAGTTGATGGAGCATCGAGGCAAGGAGGGTCGAAGTCACATCGATTCGGATTTTGGAGGCAGTGCAAGCTTATTGGAAGCATTACAGGTGGACTCCAACAGCGGCTTGAAGGCGGAAGATACGAGCGAATTGGAAAGACGGCGAGCTGTTTTCGGTGCCAATGTAATCCCTGCTCGGCCGCCGAAAACATACATAGAATTGGCAATAGAGGCTGCGAAAGACCCCACTCTAATTGTCCTGACGGCCGCTGGTGTTATCTCCCTTATTCTCGGTGTTACCTTGGAGGAGGACAAAAGCGTAGGATGGATAGAAGGCTTTGCAATTTTCATCGCCGTCGTCGTAGTAATCAATGTTACTGCTTTCAACGATTACACCAAGGAAAAACAGTTCCGAGGTTTGCAGGAGCAAATCGAGTCAGATCAGAGGTTCTCGGTATTACGCTCTGAGCAAGTCATACAGTTAGTGACGTCCGAAATAGTCGTGGGGGACATAGCCCTGTTCAAATATGGAGATAAAATGCCAGCGGACGGCGTCGTTCTGCAAAGCAATGATGTTATGGTGAGTAATGAGTATAGAGCATGTGTTTTATTTAGAATTACAGTCGTGGATCAACTTGCTGTCAACTGACCACCATGTTGTGAACATGTGCCTGGGGAAGCATGCATATTCACAGTGTTATGTTTGACAATATTGACATGCACAGAGAGAGAGAGAGAGAGAGAGAGAGAGAGAGAGAGAGAGAGAGAGAGAGAGTGTGTGTGTGTGTGTGTGTGTGTGACAGAGAGAGAGAGAGAGACAGAGAGAGAGAGTGCGCGCGCTTGGGTGGGTGGATGTACAAGCACGCCCGTGTGTATTTACACTTCTACGGATACATGTACTTGAATATGTATGTGCTGGTACACATTTCCGTTTACATGACGTGTTATCTATTTCGTGATAGCATGCATTCTGAATGTGAGTGCATTCGGAAATCTAACTGCTAACGATAATGAATGGGGGGGGGGGGGGGGCTTCCTGCACAGTGGAACCCAAGAAAAGTGAGTTATGCATGGCAAAACCTGTGTTCCTGCACAGTGGAACCCAAGAAAAGTGAGTTATGCATGGCAAAACCTGTGTTCCTGCACAGTGGAACCCAAGAAAAGTGAGTTATGCATGGCAAAACCTGTGTTCCTGCACAGTGGAACCCAAGAAAAGTGAGTTATGCATGGCAAAACCTGTGTTCCTGCACAGTGGAACCCAAGAAAAGTGAGTTATGCATGGCAAAACCTGTGTTCCTGCACAGTGGAACCCAAGAAAAGTGAGTTATGCATGGCAAAACCTGTGTTCCTGCACAGTGGAACCCAAGAAAAGTGAGTTATGCATGGCAAAACCTGTGTTCCTGCACAGTGGAACCCAAGAAAAGTGAGTTATGCATGGCAAAACCTGTGCTAGGAGTCTATGACTGTGTCTTTAGAGAAGGAATTGGCTGGGTTTCTAGCACCCTTGAACACCCTGGAAACTGATCTGGCCCCAGAAAATCCCTGAAATCCTCTCGAATTTTTGTAGTTTGAAGAAATGTCTGTTGAACTCCCTAACAGTTGTCGTTTTGACCTGGTATATCAGTAAATGCTCAGTGAGGAGTGACTACTCGCTGCCGACTGTGATTCAGTGTCCCCTGAGAGAGGTTTTACTGTAAAGAAGCCTGTCGGCTTTCAGTGCAGCCTGCTTTTCACGATAGGCTGTTGGCACCTAACCTAGCCTGCTTTTGTTGATGGACACACAATCTCTGACTCAAATGCTGGACTTGCTGTTGGGTTCCATACGAGCGTGCTTGGCCTTGATATGCAACATGTGATATCTTCTGGCGGTTTACATAATTATCCATACATCTTCACCCTCCAAACGGTCTCTGGGCTACACCAATCACTAAAAGAAAAAGAGATATTAAATTGACTCAGATGGAGAGCCAAGGTTAAATTTATACAAAAGAGAAAGACCAAGGAACTACAAGTTACGCTATACTGTCCACTAACACCACCAGTTACTAAACAATCGAATTATGCCATAACATTGCACGACACTGACCGACGGTACTGACGTTCTACAACTAACTGGCTAACAGCTCTAGCACATTTTGGAAATAACATAAGGAGGAGAAGGTTATTTCTATAAATTAGAACCTTCCAAGTTGGAAGGCTGTTGGAGTGCGCAACCAACTGGTGGTGTTAGTGGACAGTATAGCGTAACTTGTAGTTCCTTGGTCTTTCTCTTTTGTATAGATATTAAATTATTCAAATTTTCGGGCAACGCCCATCTTCAGGGTAATTTAATATCTCTTTTTTCTTTTAGTGATTGGTGTAGGCCAGAGACCGTTTGGAGAGTGTTGTTGTGAAGATGTATGGATATAGTGGATGGCTACAGTGGAGTCTTCGGGTTTTGAGAAATGGGTTTACATAATTATACAACTTTATCTTTCTGCTTCTCCCGGCAAGAGCATGCAGATGAACACTGACCTAGCTGTCAGCCCTTGCCATGTGTGTGTTTGTGTGTGTGTGTGCACGTGTGTTTGTGTGTATGCATCATATGCGTTACTCTCCGCAGATTGACGAGAGTTCTCTAACTGGCGAAGCTATGTTGGTGCGTAAATCCGTGGAAAAGGACCCCATGCTTTTGTCCGGTACGTACGCACAGCCGTAGTGGGTGAAGTTTCCTGGTCATTCGGTGTGAGCGTGGGCTTACCTGCTCTCTGCTTTTCATGGTGTGTGCATTGCACGTGAAGCGACCGAGTTGAGCGGGAAGGCGACTTTTGTAATTTGCCGAGCGAGTGGCCGATGATGTCACATGTGCTTAGCATGCCAGCCAGGATGCACCAGCGCACATTCATTCGTTGCAGAATTTTCATTTCAATTTTCAATTCACTATCCAATTTTTAATACTGAGCGGCATGTGTATGTTGGTTTTCCATTCTGCTGTGTTGTGTTCGCATTTACCGAAATGATGAGTCATCATGACGTTATGACTTCACTTGACTCACTGGCGTTTCTCTCTCTCTCCCTCTTTCTCTCTCTCTCTCTTTTCTCTCTCTCTCTCCCCCTCTCTCCCCCTCTCCTTCTCCCTCTCTTTCTATCTATCTCTCTCTCTCTCTTGCTCTGCGTCTCTCGTTGTCTGTGTGTCGCCCACACACTCTATACAAACACACCACGCAGGCACACAAGTCATGGAAGGATCAGGTAGCATGCTAGTAACAGCTGTGGGTCTGAACTCCCAGAGTGGTATCATCTTCCAACTTCTCACCGGTGTAAAGGCACCGGCCGGTTTAGCAGGTGAAGTAGACGCCGACGATGCAGAGGGGGCTGACAAAGGCAAGGGTCTCTATAAAGGTACGGGCATTTTGTGTGTGTGTGTGTGTGTGTCTAGTTCGGTTGGTGGGTGCACCAATGCCAGATAGTGCTGTGTCTGTTGCCAACGGGCTTGGCTGCTTCAAGGTGTATTGTTGTACCTGCCACTTTTGTTGGTTCAGGGTTCATGTTTTTGTTTGTCGTGTGCAATCAATGGTGCTGGTGACGCCTTTTGTCAGATCCACTCTGATTCAGCCACCCACACTAGTAGCATGTATTGCCTTCACTGGGGCCAATGCAGTTGGATCCCAGGACAGATACCTTGATGTCGACAATCCTTTTTCTGCACCTTGTCTTCGCCCACTTGCTGCGGTGTGGTGAGCCCATATGCGGGATTATTTCCAAGTCCAAGTCCACCCAGAGTTTGGGGATTTCGGGGGGTGTCAGCCGTAGGTCAGCCAATAGCCAATTGAGTCATCTTTCCAAGATTCCTTTTAAATCTCTCTCCCCGCTCCCGGGGAGACGCACGTGACCAGTTTTGGCAGTGAGCAAGTACACGTGTGTGTGCAATAGAAAACACAGTAATAGAAAAGCTGACATGGTCGCTTTTCTAAATATGGGAACACTGCCCATATATGGTTGAAGGGTGTAACTACCGTACTTCCGAACATATGAAATTATACTCAATCTGCGGACAGAACTGTTTCGTCCTTTGTGGACTCATATGAAATTATAAACGCACGGACTTTTCGAATAGAAGCAATCACATGGAGACGAGTTTTTAATAATATTTTCTGGCTCAGTATCCGAGTTAAATTTGCACGGACGTTTGTCTGTATATGAGCGCACCCCGTAATGTATGCGCCTGTGTGTATGTAAACAATATTGGTGAAACACTCGGGAGACTATCAAGAGTCCATAACCCCCCCCCCAATAGTGTGCAACTCCACTATGAGTGCTGTCCAGGCAAAATTTCAAGTTGACGTCATTTTTATGATGCGATGCGCACTGTACACATATCAGACGTATCCTGGACCTGTGGTGGACAGAGTCCCATTTGATCCTTTACTAACTGTTGCGAAGAAAAGCGTGTTGCTGCTTTGATACCCCGTGCAAATGTTGTAAATCACTGGTGCATGGAGCATTGCATAATTTAAAAAAATGACGCCGACTTGAAATTCTGTCCGGACAGCAATGTATGCTGGACCTGCACCCTCTTGGGGGGGGGGGGGGGTCCTCTTGTTACTGCTGGTCATTGTGATAACACCATTGTTTAGGACACAGACAAATATGTATTGAACATTACTCCATCTGCAGACAGAACTGTTTCGTCCTTTGTGGACTCATCAACGCAGCACAGAGAAAATGAGGCCGAACCTGGTAATAATAATAATATAATTATAATATTCGCGGGATCCGCGTTAGCATCACTTGAATGTTCAGAAACACACAAGCTATAGCCTTCGCTTCCGCCGAACCTGGTAGCAATGAAAAATTGAACATATTAGAGATGTGCTTCAACCCGGACATGTTTCCCCAGCGGATTTTTTTCCCTTATAAGCATGTGCGCTCATATGTGTGCGGAAGTACGGTGTTGTAGTGCATTGGGGACCCCTGGTGTCACCCCAGTGGTCAATCTCTGTATGTACATTGTCACATCTCACTGAGGGTGGGGACCCCTGGTATCACCCCAGTGGTCAATCTCTGTATGTACATTGTAACATCTCACTGAGGGTGGGGACCCCTGGTATCACCCCAGTGGTCAATCTCTGTAAGTACATTGTCACATCTCACTGAGGTTGGGACCCCTGGTATCACCCAATCTCTGTACAATGTCACATCTCACTGGGGTGGGGGCCCCTGGTTTCACCCCGTAGTCAATCTCTGTATGTACAATGTCACGTCTCACTGAGGATGGGACCCCTGGTGTCATCCCACTGGTCAACCTCTGTACTCTAAGGGTGGTGTTTTTCTGATTACAGATCGCGGTATTCCCGATGAGGTTCGGAAGAGGCACAAATCCGCACCTGGTGATGAGGAAGAGGGTGGCGACGAAGGTGAAGGCGAAGGCAAAGCCACTGACGAAGACGAAGACTCCGGCTCTACCAAGAGTGTCTTGCAGGTGCGTTTTGTTCGTGTATGTGTGTGTGGCCAGGCTAAAAATTAGTGGCGGTCAATTCATCAGCTTTGCAAGCTGTTGCTGTGATTCCAGCACAAGTTGCTATGTCTAACAAAGCTTGTTCGCTATCATCGCTTCAACGATGGGCAGGTGTGTGTGTATTGGTGTATTGGTGTGGTCTCGTTTTAGAATTGCTGTCAAGCGTGTTTGTCAAGTGTTATTGTGATCTGGTTGATGCTGCAGCCGCTCCTCATCTTGCTCACACCAATGCATGCATGTCTGTGTGTGTATTCATGTTTGTGCATATGTGTGTGTGTGTGCGTATGTGCGTGTGCAGAACAAGCTGACGTCGATGGCAGTGCGTATTGCCCGCTTTGGCACGGCCGCTGCTATCATTGCCGTGCTTGTGCTCCTACTGCGCTTTTCCATTGAGGAGTTTGGAGTCAAGGGACGTGCCTGGGACAAGAAGAAAGATCCCAGTATCATTGTTCACGCCTTTGTTACTGGTAACTGCTGGGCTCTGTTCTATCTGTGTGTGTGTGTGTGTGTGTGTGTCTCTCTCTCTCTCTCTCTCTCTCTCTCTCTCTCTCTCTCTCTCTCTCTCTCTCTCTCTCTCTCTCTCTCTTCCTCTTTTCGCTGGTGCTGATTTGGCGCACTGTTTGTTGGACATCGTCACATGTTTGGTCTTGTCTAGAGTTCTGCTTGCCTTTGCACCAGTTGCTGCACACCTCCAAGTTGTTTTCATTACAATGACTTAATATCCAGCCAACTGGAGACATCATCATTTTCAAACCCTGTTGTGCAACTGCTCAGCAGCTGGGTGCAATGTCACAGTTACATGTGTGTATGTGTGCGTGTTTGTTTGTTCACTGGCGCCAGGCATCACCGTATTGGTAGTCGCCATTCCCGAAGGTCTTCCTCTCGCCGTCACAATCTCTTTGGCCTACTCTGTCAAGAAAATGCTGGTCGATAACAATCTGGTACGTGCAAAATTACAGCACTGTCAGTCGCCGAAGAACTGGGGGGGGGGGGGGGGGGCAGCCTCCTAGCCTAGACCGTTCTTATCTTCGTGTATTACAGTCTATGCACGGTTGAGTTACCGTGTATACATTGGTATGCCGTGCTTGGTGAAATTCTAGCTGGGTCGTTCTTCATCGCCTGACAGTACTGTAATAGTTCGGTAGGTTGTTTGCGCGCTGTCGTTGAGGGATTACTTGACTGTGTGTGTCGCTAGCATTAACAGTGAATAAGCTCCCAAGAGTTTGTGTGCAACTCTGCATGTGGGGTCTTCGACGGCGAAAGCTCTCGTCCCATGTTTCAAGCATGTTTTGTGCTGCGTTCAACGAATTGCAACGTGCGGGCCGTCCGAGTATCTGCCTTGATTATGCTGATGGCTCGCATAAGCTGAGGGGTGCAGAGCTGGGGCAGCAGGGTCAGCAACCCGGTTGGGGGGGGGGGGGGGTACTTGGACTCATTTGAAAAAAGAACACGGGGTTACTTGCGACCCGGTTGTGAGTATACATGTCGAGTAGTAACTTACTCACACACGCGCACGCACACACACCACACACTCTCTCTCTCTCATACAGCCGCTTGCTTTCTTTCCTGTTGCTCTTCTCGCTGTCGCCCTAGGTACGTCACTTGCACGCCTGCGAGACAATGGGAAACGCCACTGTGATCTGCTCGGACAAGACCGGAACACTGACCACCAATCGCATGACTGTCGTACGCGCGTATCTTGCCGGGCGCATGTTCAGCGAGAACATCTCGTCGTCTGAAATTCCCAAGCTCATCTCCGACCTGTTGCCCGACTGTATCGCCGTCAACTCATCCTACACGTCCAAGATCCTGCCGCCGGAGCGCGAAGGGGGTTTCCCCAAGCAGGTGGGCAGCACGACCGAGTGCGCCATGCTCGGCTTTGTCAACAACCAGATGGGCAAGTCTTTCGAGACCATCCGCAAGGAGCACCCCGTGGAGTCGTTCACGAAGGTCTTCACGTTCAACTCCGACCGCAAGTCCATGTCGACGGTGATCCCGATTGAGAACGGCGGCTTCCGTCTGTTCTGCAAGGGCGCGTCCGAGATCCTGGAGAAGTGCTCGCAGGCAGTGGCGTTTGACGGCGGCTTCACGCCGCTGGCGGCGCGCGACCACACCGAGATCCGCAGCAACGTAGTGGAGACGATGGCCAGCAACGGGCTGCGCACCATCTGCCTGGCGTACCGCGACTTCACGCGCGAGGACGTCGAGGGCCTCAAGTCGCTGAGGTCGGCCGCCTCCCTAGAGGCCGCGGCGGCCGACGGCGACGACGATGAGGGACCGTTTGACAACGAGGACATGGTGGTGTCGCACCTGACCTGCCTCGGTATCGTCGGCATTGAGGACCCAGTGCGCCCCGAAGTGCCCGCCGCCATCAAGGTCTGCAGCCGCGCCGGCATCACCGTGCGCATGGTTACCGGCGACAACGAGAAGACGGCCCAGGCCATAGCCACCAAGTGTGGCATCCTCAAGCCCAAGGAGGGCCACGTCGTGCTCACCGGCAAGGAGTTCAACAAGAAAGTGCGCAACGCCGATGGCAATGTGGATCAGGTAAGACAGACAGGCGCGTTTACTTGAGTGATTTCAACTACGGTACTGGCCAGGGAAATTCAACCTCATGAATAAAATAGCGTTGCCGGGCGATACGCAGCCCTAGCACTACACATACTGGTCTGTGCACTCGAGCGCGGCGCTACTTTATTCATGAGGTTGGATTTCTTTGGCCAGCACTGTAAATAAGTCTGTAATTCAACCCAGCACCCACAGAAATTGGTAATACCGCACAATCGTGTCGTTTCTCCGGTTCAGTAAACTTATCGCTCTCCTATACCAGCAGTATTTGTTCACAGAACTGCGACGATTTTACTGAACCGGAGGAAGTAAAAGCGACGCTTGTGCACATGTTGTGTGTTTCATAGCCTTGTTTATGAGACCTGCTCATGCCAAGGACGGCTGGCTTTTATGTGCTATGTGTGTGCACAAAAACCAGACTTAAGGTCCTGTCTTGAAAATCAGATTTGTTCACAACAGTCTCCTGTGAGAGAGAGAGAGAGAGGGAGAGAGAGAGAGAGAGAGAGAGAGAGAGAGAGAGAGAGAGAGAGAGAGAGAGAGAGAGAGAGAGAGAGAGAGAGAGAGAGAGAGAGAGAGAGAGAGAGAGAGAGAGGAGAGAGAGAGAGGGACAGACAGACAGGATACAGTCAGCTGGAGAAAGCAATAACTACCGGGCGTTCAGAAGTCTAACGTGCCACTATGGCCTTACAACTGTCCTTTATAGCTGAGGTACTCATTGTACTTGTGTCTCTTTGCTTAGAAACACACTGTCTGTCACGGCACTGACCTGATCCCGCTGTGTGTTTCGCTGGTGCATTTACTGCTGCTGCGTGTTTGTTTGTTAGGCACTCCTGGACAAGGTGTGGCCAAACTTGCGTGTCCTGGCTCGCTCATCGCCCGCCGATAAATTCACTCTTGTCGGGGGCATTATCAAGAGCAAGCTGTCGAAGACGCGCGAAGTCGTCGCTGTCACCGGTTCGTATGCTTGCACATGTGTATGTGAAAATTGTTATGAGTTCACACGCATCTGTCTTCAACCCGCCTCTTCTTCCATGTCTTTGCATGTGTGCGTGTGTGTCCGTATCTGCCTTTGTACGGCTTACCGTTTGTGCACGATTTGTGTTTGCGTGTGTCTGTCACACACTCCATATC